ATGGGTATAGTAGCTGTTTGGGCAGTGGAGTTTACGAGAGAGGATGTTTTGTTCGTGAGTGACCTCTGAACATACAATCTGGGACGCACACATGCAGACCACATGATCATGAGCCCCTGGTCAGTGAATCAGTAAAGACTGGACAAGTGTGTGTGTGTGGGTGTGTGTGTGTGATGCTCTAGCCTTTGCTGCAGGTGTTTTCCTGTCAGTGCATATGGACATTTACACAAAGCACAGATCAGAGACGGTTCCTATTAAAACCTGCTTAGTCACCGTGATGTCTTGTGTAACAAGTTTTTAATTAAATAAAATGAATATCATTTTGGGGGAAAAATTACACATTTGTTGTTATTGTTCTCATTCTCAATAATCAAAAAAGTCAAATACACTTATTACATATTTTGAATCATATAATATTTTGAATATCATACTATGGCAAGCCGTTTTGACATTTAATCTATAACCCGCACTAGTATCTATTTTCATGTTACTAGTGCTTATTTTTTAGATATCTTTTCCATTAAGTACAAGAACTTACTCATTAGATACTAGTGCTTATTTATTAGATACTAGTGCATATTGTTTAGATACTAGTGGTTTTTAAAAATATACTAGTGCTGATTTATTAGAGTTATTTTTATTAGATACTAGTGCTTATTTATTAGATACTAGTGCTTATTCTTTGGATGCTAGTGCCTATTCTTTAAACACTAGTGCTGACTCATTAGATACTAGTTCATTTTATTAGATACTAGTACTTACTCATTAGATACTAGTGCCTATTCTTTAGATACTAGTGTGTATTCTTTAGATACTAGTGGTTTTTAAAAATATAGACTCATTAGATACTAGTTATTTTTATTAGATTCTAGTACTTACTCATTCGATACTAGTGCTTATTGGTTAGATACTAGTGGCTATTCTTTATATACTAGAGGTTTTTAAAAATATACTAGCACTTACTCATTAGATACTAGTGCTTATTAGATATTAGTGCCTATTGTTTAGATACTAGTGCTTATTATTTAGATGCCTAATCTTTAGATAATAGTGCTTATTATTTAGATGCCTATTCTTTAGACAATAGTGCTTATTATTTAGATACTAGTGCATATTTTTCAAAAGAAAAAAAAAACCTTCACACATCCATTCCAAAACACAGGTAAATTGTGACACAATTAACCAGAAATAACCTAAGCTTTAGCATTCATGCAGCTGCTTTGTTCTAGAGACATCCAAAGGCAGAATCGCGAACCACAGCTAAATGTTGACACATTTGACTACATTACAAATTGTGTGGATGGATAGGTGTTGTACAACTTCGATGAAAACATACGGAGGAACAATTTCGCATGTCGAGATGTACATTATATGTGTGTGTGGTGTCGCTCACACTTTACGTGCACACGTGTCAAGCAACTGAAGCAGAGCTTAAAGGTAAACAAACAGCGGTTTATCATAAGTATTTTATTGATAATTTTTTACGCCGTTGGCATTACGAAGGAACATAGAAACGTTATGACTAACATCTAGCAGCTGAATGTGTCTGGAAAAATATTCAAAAGCTTTTATTTTCACAAAAAGCACAGATGTGAATGCGTCCAAATGTTTTCCTTTTGCGTCCACACAGAGCAGCATTACGCAGGTTATTGTAATGTTACGACTTCTCTTCTTTCCGGAAAATTGCCAGAACGAATTTACCATTATTTTCAAAAAGAGCCTGGTTACACATGACCCCTTTCTGGAAAATTGCCGGTAGTTTTCCAGAAAGGCCTGTATGTGTAAAAAGGGCTAATGTCAGGGACTAACAGGGATTATAAATGTTGTTGTTTAAAATCAAAAATATAATAAAACTTTAACTGTGAAATATTATAATTCAAAACAGTTTTCTTGTTGAATGTAGTTTAATATGTATTTATTCCCATGATTTAAAGCTGAACATCATTGCTCCTGTCTCCATGTACATGATCCTACAGAAAATATTTTAATAATTGACAATCTGCTGCTCAAGAAAAAATAATTATTTTTCATTCATTTTATTTTTGGCTTAGTCCCTTTATTAATCTGGGGTCGCCACAACGGAATGAACCGCCAACTTATCCAGCATATGTTTTACGCAGTGGATGCCCTTCCAGCTGCAACCCATCACTGGGAAATATTATATTATTATTATTATTATTATTATTTCCCCAGTGATGGGTCTGTGATCCGCTGCGTAAAACATATGCTGGAAAAGTTGGTGGTTCATTCCGCTGTGTCGACCCTAGATTAATAAAGATACTAAACCAAATATAAAATTAATAAATGAATGAATAATAATATTATATTATTATTACTATAATATTATTATTATTACTATATTATCATTATTTATTATTATTATTATTATTATTGTTATTGTTATTATTATTGTCAGTGTTAAAAACAGTTGGGCTGCTTTCTATTTAAAAAAAGAAAAGAAAAAGAACTGGGACAGGAACATTTAAAAAAAAATGTATTGATACTTCAAACGTATTAGTAATGTATTTACTTTTGTTCAAAGAAAAGACTTCTTCAAAACAATTTTAAAAATTCATCTCATATTTGAGTTCTGATGTGGATTTTTACTTGGTACCATTTTTAATTGATCATTTGAGCCAAGTGGGATACTGAGTGTTAAATAATGTTGTGAATTTCATATAAAAAATCTCATTTACTAATGTTACTTTGCCATGTTTAATTGTAATATTGAACATGTATTTTTAATGGTATATATGGGCGCTACAAGATAACCTAAATATTTTATTATATTATACAGTTGAAGTCAGAATTATTAAACCTTCTGAATTATTAGCTTCCCTGTTTATTTTTTCTCAATTTCTGTTTAACATAAAGATTTTTTTTCAACACATTTCTAAACTTAATAATTTTAATAACTCATTTCTAGTAATTGATTTATTTTATCTTTGCCATGATGACAATGCAGAATATTTGACTAGATATTTTTCAAGATACTTTTATACAGCTTAAAATGACATTTAAAGGCTTAACTAGGTTCATTAGTTGAACTAGGCAGGTTATGGTAATTAGGTAAGTTATTGTATAATGATGGTTGGTTCTGTAGATTATTGAAAAAAATAGCTTAAAGGGGCTAATAATTTTGACTTTAAAATATATATATTTTTTAATTAAAAACTGTTTTTATTCTAGCTGAAATAAAACAAATAAGACTTTCTCCAGAAGAAAAAAATATTATCAGACATACTGTGAACATTTCCTTGGTCTGTTAAACATCATTTGGGAAATATTTAAAAAAGAAAACAATATCAAAGGGGGGCTAATAATTCTGATTTCAACTGTATATTGTTTTGGATGTCAAATAATATGGCATGGAATGTAGGCTATTACATCTACTACTATTATTAACTGCTTATGTGATTATTAATACCACTTCTCTTTAGCATCTTTACGAGTTTGTTGTAGGTCTGTCCACCATTTGTAAGTGCATTTGAATTAAAGTATATGCTAAATTAATAAATGTAGAAATAATATGTATTTTAAATAGCCTATCATATATTGTTGAGATCCATCAAACAATCGCTGTCAAAATTTACTGTTATCTATAAAGACTGTCAGCTATTTTTTTATGACTGTGATTTGCCATATGTGTTCTAAGAAGTAAAGTAGGCTAATGTAATTTATGTAGGAAATGTAGCCTAATAAAGCAGCATATGTTAATAATTCTAATTCCTGTAACGTCATTTACTATTCCTAATGTTTTATAAAGAATGCCATGTAATAGCATATATTACAATGCCATATAATGTTGTGAATGGCATGTATTATTATGAATGTCACGTAGACTGAAATGCTATGGGGATAGACAGCGAAACATACGCCATTTTATAATTTGGGAATGCAGTTTACTATTACACTAACAGCTTATGTTTTCAATGTATGGACTGTCAATGGTGTACATGCCGTGTAACATTATGAACGAACGTCATGTAATATTATGAATGTCATGTAATATGTTTTCAGACCACACCAACCTGGCGCGTGGAGGGGTGTTGGGATTCCCTACGCGTGAATAGCTGTAGCGCTGAATGTAAATAAGGCGTCAAGTCCTCCAGGACTGTGTGAAATCCTACCCAATAATTGAATGTCTTTATTATTCACCTGATCCCCGTGTGATCTTTATTGAACGGGACGCACCGAACACCCCCGCATTTCTCCTTCCTCACCCTCGCCGCTCACCGATCAATGACCGCGTGCAGCAGACGCGTCATGCTCGTGCGCGCGCCAGGAAAACATGGAAGCGCTTTAAAGGCCCTAGATGTAGACACACTAGAACGACACATTCAAACTGAAATGGCTCATGAATCCGGTGTTTGTGTTCCGTCCTCAGCAATTTTATAATGAGTTCAACCACTTTTTAAAGACACACTTAAGTGAAAACTACTTTTGTGATTGTAATATAGCGCTTGTAAAATAATAGAAATCAATGAATGTACATTCTCATATATAAATAGTATATATATATATATATATATATATATATATATATATATATATATATATATATAATTACATTATTATTAATATTATTACTATTATTAAGCCAACCAAAAAACTGGCATCTAGTTTTGTAGTACATCTACATTCTAGCTGTCATGAGGTCGCGCGCACGAGAAGCACGAGCGTCGCTGCGGTGATCGTGCCGCGCGCTCCAGTCTCAGCAGCAGCAGCAGCAGCGGGAGGAGAAACGTATAATCCGCTCGTTAATGTTGACAGCGACGTGACACGAGCGAATTTAACCGGTCTGTTCAGGAAACGGGACACCGTGACACATATTTGAGCAGAGCCCGTGTGACTTTAACCGCACGGGGTGTTTAGAGACGGATGAGCGGCTGCCAGGCCGGACGCGGGCGGATGGGATTCCCGGTCTAGATGGAGAGAAACCGAGCGGGCGGAGAAGCGTCGCTGCTGTAAATAATTCAACATCGGCGTGATCAACAAAAATGCATCTGCACCAGGTGCTGACGGGGGCCGTTAACCCAGGGGACTGCTGCTACTCCGTGGGAAGCGTCAACGACGTCCCGTTCACGGTGGGTGAGAAATCTAAACCTGCGCTTATTTTACGCTTGTACGTGATCGATGTTCAAGCGTGATGCGTGTGCATGCAACATCATCATCATCATCACCATCACCATCATCATCATCTCCACCATCATCATCCTCACGATGCGTGTTTAGGTTCAGTGTGCCATCTGTCATCCTCAAGGTTATCTCTGCGTTGTGTGTGTGCGTTTGTGTGTGTCCCTGCATAGATCAGGAGTGCACTGCGCGCACACACACTCCTTCGGTGTCTCTATCTATGCAAACTCTAATATGCACGATTGCATGACATGACGTGCAATGCTCATTCAAGATGATGATGATGATGGTGGTGGTGCAAGGCGCATGAAGAGTAATGTAACATCTTCATCTTACAACCTTAGTTTACTAGAAAGTATCTAGACAGCATCAGATCACGATGCCCAAAATGCTGCCTATGGAGGTTGTGTAGGTTGCGATCTAGGTTATGACACACTGCCATTGTGGTTGGATGTTGAGCCCATCAGCTGTGCACACAATGACGTCACGAGTACAGTCGACAGGCCAGAGTCTAGTGTGTAGACCTAATCTCTGTATGCTGTGCCCCATAAATGAACGTTAATTCAATCTTTATTTGAAGTAATACCACAAAAAATAGGTTTAGATCTCTGTAATTCATTTTATAGTTTTATAACCAAACATATTAAGGTGTATAATGCTGACATTTTTACATGATGAATGAAAAGTGCACCTAGATAGTTTGTAATGTAGACTAGTGTGAACATTAAACTGGCAATGGATATTCAAATGTGAAGCCTGCGTGTGTGTGAATGAATAGAGCTGTTTTGTTTACTACACATGCTCAAGCGCACTTGTTCATGGTGTGTTTAGCATTTGACCTCTCACTTTATGAGGACAGGAACGCATTAACTTCACCTCAAGAGACGCAACATGCATCAGAAAATACGGACAGCATTGCAGAATCCATCATAAAACACAATTCAACACATTTTAGAAAGCATATATTTGTATTAAGACTGCACGATATACGGTAGGAACAATCCGACATTGAGATATTTTGTTTAGCTGCGATGTGAATATAATTACACCAGGTGATTTGAATAGCTCTTTTATGGAATAATATCACTGTCATAAATAATTTTGTACGTAAGTAAAATTCGCATCTATAATTATAAAACCTTAAAGGAAAACGGAGTGTACCAAAATCTGCGATTAGAACAGACACAGATACACGTTTTCTTTGTTTGTATACGACTGATGAATTTGCGATAGGTATACTTTACAAACACGAAATAGGTTAAAACATAATGTTTTTTAAAACTTTAAATGAATAATAGTAATAATAATTTCAGGAAAGAAATACACAAAATCTCTGCAAAAATGCTTTTATTACTATTACACACATCTAAAAATGCTTAAAGAAGAAGCAATTTTTAGACAAGCAAAAATACTGTAAGATACTTGTAAGAAATAATATGGCAAAATTAAGCGATTTTGCTTTTGACATAGATCATTTTTTTCCAGTACTGGATTGCAGCTATAAGAAAAAACATATGCCGGAATAGTTCAACAATATATCGTTTCAGCATCGATATCACAATGTGCACATTCGCAATTGTCACATCACAAGATATGCAATATAGAGTCTGAATTATAGTGGACCAAGAGCTACAGAGTTGTATTTTATTTCTGTATTTATATGGAATCTATATGATTTATG